AACTGTTTGCAGATGAATTCAGTAATAGTGAAAACTTATCTCTATAAAAAATTTACAATGCTGATAAAACTGGTCTTTTCTGGCAATACGCATTGTAAAATACCTTTGCAACATCTACAGAAAAGGCTACAACTGGTGTCAAAGATTCCAAATCGAGACTAACAATTTTAGCATGCACAAATGCTGCAGAAACGCACACGCAAAAATGTTTCGTAATCAGTAAAAATAAGCGACCTTGAGCATTTAAAGGAGCAAAGATTTTCCTCGTTATATATAGAGCAAATAAAAGAGCATGGATGAACAAGTGTTAATGAATGACTATCTTGAATATCATTTCATACTCGAGGCTTGGCAGAATTCGGTTGGTTTACCTGATGACGCAAAAATTGTCCTGACTGTAGACAACTGTTCAGTTCCTACTTTACTTAAAGTTTGAGTGAAAGATAATGTATCTGTATTATTTATTCCTCTAAATTGTACACTCATCATTCAGCCTATGGATATTGGAATAGTGTGTGCATTGAAATGCAAATGTAAAGTAGAATTTTTAAAATCCATGTTAAATTTCTTGAACAATGGCAAGACCGTTCAAGAATTTTTGAAATATTTTAGAATAATATCTGCTTTGTGGAGCATCGCAAGATCATGGGAGGGTGTGTCTCCAGATACTCTGACAAATGCTTGGCATAATTTATGGCCAGCTACTATATTTCATGGTGAGGGATGATATGATAGCCTCGAAGGAGGTTTCAGAATCACAAACCCGGTGATTTTTCCAATTAATGATTGTAAGAATTGGAGAAGCGGTAATAACGAAGATGTCTAACAGCAGTTTTTAATTACGATAAATGCCACCAATTATCACTTATTAATGATGGTGCAATCTGTAGTATGGTTCTAGATCCAAAAATACCCCTACACTAGTGACTAAAGGACAGACAGGTTATTGAAAACAAAAAAATGTCGATGACAGTTCTCAACTGGCAATTACAGACTTGAACATGGACCTTGTAACTTACTACGAACTTATATGTCTAAAAATTAAGAAAATATGAGTACATACCCTCTTTAAAAAATCTGAAAGTTTCAGATTCTAAACGACCAAAGGGGCATTTTTCAACATTTTGTGTTCATTACCTTACCTTTATTTATTAAATATCAGTTCCTACACTTAAACCATAAAATTCATTCAAACATATCGCAAAGAATTTTAATGAGCATCTTTAAAATTCCAATAGACATTTCATGCTGGAGATAAAAATGTTTTTTCAGTCAATGTTGCCATGCTGCCTCTAAATCTAAGTTTTTGTTATCAAAATTGATTAAAATTGTCCAATATGAAATTAATAATAAAGAATTCCTCCAGATGTCCATATTCGCGTAGGATTATGTCATTCAAATTTGATGCTCTAGGTACCATGTTTTATACAAGGTAGAACCATCATTATGCAGATTCTTCATTATTTAATTTCTTCAAATATAATACAGGGCAATAATATTTGGTAGCAACAGTTTGAAAAGTGAAACAGACATTCAGAGTGATTCAACGCAAAATCATAAAACAAAAATCCCTCAGGGACAAAGCCCTCTTGGACTAAAAAACCTTTCACTGATGGAAATGTTTAATAAAGTAAACAAATAAATTTAAAGCTTTTCTTTTGTAAATTTTGTTACCCTTTAGATTAAATGCTTCATTATTTCAGGAATCCTGATTTCATATTTTTAATTCTATAACTTCTACATGCCATTTATTAGTTTTAAACGGATGATCAAATATCCAAAATAACCCCAAACTCAAAATCGCCAAAGTCCTAATCTTGGACTTTGTATTGTATAAGCAAAATATTACACTTTTTTTATTCATTTCAGATGGATCAACATAAATTTTATTTCCAAATTAAAAAAGTATATATATATTTAAGAAAGGGGGGAAAAAAGGAATTAGAAGAGCAAACTTACACCTCCAGCCTTCAGCAGCTTATGCCTGAAGTCTTCTGATGGATTATGAAATGTCAACCTTTCTAAACGGATATTTCTAACAGGTGAAAACTCTAACCGTAAGTACAAATCATATTCAAATCTAACTTTTTTTGGTTCTTCTTTGGTTCGAAAGTACACTTCTATAGGCATAATAAAACCAGCATAGCCAGATTCCGATACAGAATAAGGGTGCTCCTTGACAACTAAAAAGGGGAGAAAATAAATATTAACTTTGCATTTTATACATTGAATTATTTTTACAAATTGAGTTGTCAAAAAATGTAAATATCAAAGCAAAAATTATTCATTAGGGAAATATGCTTTCAATGTATTTTTCACGTAGAAAATTTTTATTATTTTATTATTATGGTCATAAATTTAAGCTGCAAATTAAGAGAAATAGTTTGTTATACATGACATAAATTTGAGAAGACTATTAGAATTTCAATCTGCATTTATCCTTTCTTGTATTCAAATTTCTGCTAATGTATACTTTGAATGATGTCTTTACGGATACAAAAGACATTCATTCATACAAGGGTTTCCAATGAAATTCAGCTTTTAATTTTACTGATTTTTCAGAGATCAAACTGAACAATTACACTGACAAAAAGCATGATAAAAGTCCAAAAATTATGTAAGAAACTAAGAATTTTTATTTATTTGCTATAAAATATAATGAAATCACTAAAAATATACAAAAATCTAATTTGCCTTACTTAATATTTAAAATCAAATGAAAAAATATATGTAAAAAAAGGGGAGATAGTGACGAAATTCAAATTGCATTTTTCATGTCTTGAAAGTACGACTTAGGACATATATTAGATTTATATATAGCATTGTTCTACCATAAGTATTTTGACACAAAATGGGACTTTTTCTGAAATAACATACCAATTTGTTTTTCATATTTTGATTCTACGACTCAAATTATGCCTAAATATTAAATTTTATAAAATTTAGAGTGAAATTTACAAAGAAATTTAAAAATTTAACTTATCGCAATTTTTTTTTTTTTTTCAGTTGGGCCGAGAATAATTCACTTAGCGAACTTCTTAATGTATGGCAACCTGTTTTCCTTACCCTTCTATTGTGGAGGAGTGGGAAAAAGAGTCACAGTGTTCCTAGCTTTTTACATTGTCCATGAGTGAAAAAAAGTCACATCGTTTCTACTTTCAAATAATTTTAACAGGCGAATCAGGATGTTGAACCATGAAGCATAGTAAATTCTTAAATTTATTATTTTCTTATTTATTGGCTTTTTATAAAATTTTAAGCGATATTAAAATGTTTATGCCTTCAAAAAAGGAATTTTTAGAACTAACATTTTTTAAGTGTATACTGTATGTTGTCGCCAATAAAGTCTGCTTGGCGAGATTTGCGCCGGCGAAACGGAAAAGTACCAGAATTTCTTACTTTAAAATATATTTTTTTCACTTCACCTTTTAGCTTCAGTCAAATAACATTAGTCAATAAACATTTTCAAAGAAAGAATGTGCTTTTTTTTTTACTTTGGTTGGCACCAGGATGGAAAGCAGACACCTTCCTTGTAGGTTGGTGCAGCTGTTAATCAGTCATAATGTCGGCGGCAGCAATCCATTCAGTAGATGCGATAATAAATGAAGGCAGTTTAAACGGGTTTTCACCACACTGGCTTCCAGGAAATACCATTTTGTAATGATATTACTTTCCACTCCTTCCTCCTTGGAGCATTCGCATATTTCAAGCTTTCTCTTTTCATTCATAGTATCATTTGGAATTCGTGGTAGTTAGCAAGTAGCATGCTTGAAATGGGAAAATATAGTAACTTTTAAACTGAAAGTCGCAGAATTTGCATGGAAAATGGAAAAAGAGCAGCAGCAAGAGTATAAAAGGTGGATGAAAAGTGTGTGCACAATTGGAGCAAATAGCGTGATCAACTAGCGACAACGAACAAAACAAGACGTGTGTTTCATGGTTCAAAATGTAAGTTTCCGAACTTAGAAAAAAAGTAGTTGCATATGTTTGTGAAATGCATGCTCAAGGATATGCAGTAACATACGAAATGTGCCAAATAAGAGCGCTTGGTGCGGCACAAGAAGACATTCCTCTACATCGCAGTTCAAGACGAGTGAAAACTGTTTGCGGCCAATGATGAAACGAGACGGATTTTCGTTTTGCCAGGGTATGACAATATGTCAAAAAATGCCCAGCGACTATGAAAATAAGTTGATGTCCTTTCGCCATTTCATTATCGTGAAGGGCAAAGTGAATCATTATTTAGCTTCACAAATTGTGAATGCTGATCAGATGCCAGTTTATTTTGATGCTCCACAATTACACTGCAAATGAACAGGGTGCAAAATCTGTACCAATACGCACATGGGGATATGAAAAACAAAGAGCAACTGTTATGTTAGCAGTTAGTGCCGATGGCAAAAAACTTTCGCTGTATGTGGTTAAGCGAAAAACAATGCCGAAAGAAAAAGGAACCAGGAATTGTAGTACTAGTTCAAGAGAAGGGGTGGATGGATGACACTTTTGTTCAGTACTGGCTGCAGAGTATGTAGTATAAATGGCCTGAAGTTCTGTTGCAGCTACCTTCGCTTCTAGTGCTGGACAGCTTCAAAGGGCATCTCACTGACACAGAGAAACAAAATCTTAAAAGCTCAAGAACTGATCTTGCTGGAGGAGGTCTAACTTCCATTCTTTAGCCACTTGATGTTTGTATAAACAAGCCATTTAAAATGGCATTCAAACAGAGCTACTGTAATTGGATTACTTCTGGGGAAGAGAGACCATGGCAACTGGACGTCTGAGAAGAGTATCCATCTCAGAAGTGTGTGCATGGAAAAGCATATCCGATGATGTGACTGTAAAAAGTTTTAAAGTAACCGGCATATCAAATGCTTTGGATGAAACAGAACATGATCTCCTTTGGAAGGATAACGTGAATGAGGAAAACGAGAAAGATGACGTGAATGAAGAAAATGAGGAAGATGCAAGTGAAAAAAGGGATGACGACGATAACTAATACATGGAAAAAGGAACAAAAGTACTGGTACTACAAGTGTGTTGAAAATTATTCGCGATAAGTTTTTAAAATCTGCTTAGAATTTGAATTTTAATATTTCATGTGTACGCATTGTATTTGTTAACAATTAATATGTGCTCATGCAATTGGAAATGATTTGTAAGGACAAAATAAAAGATAGAAAAATGTGATAAAAAAATTTTTACCGATTAATTTATTTGCACTCATATCGAGTGTTGTTCACAATGCTTTTTTTTTTTTTCTTTCTTGTGGTAGCTTGAAATTAGAAATAATACTGCTCACTGATTCTCCACTATGTGGCTGCCACTACAGTGCCTGCACTGCCATCTTGTGTATTTTTATGCTACCGTTTGCAACAGAAAGATTTTACATTTGCACATGCAGACATAACCAAAATTTTCATACAGTGTGTCAGAACAGATTTTTTTAAAAAATAATGTGTGCAAGATATTAAAAGAACCAACATTTGTTTAATTTGTATAAAAGTAAATATTAAAATTGCAAGTGTTGGTTAATTTGTGCCTTTATATTATGTTCCTATGCGAACTAATATGCGCCGAGTGTTGATAACGTAAACGGGATAATTTATATATGTGGACAGAATGCGAGTTTGTAAATTTTAGGTAGCTATTAGACAACTTTAAATTTAATACTTTTATTACTTATATCATTTTTCTTCCACTTAGAACTTAACTTGGCTGTTTGAAATGAAATTTACACTAAAAATTACTCATAAGAAAAGGCATGATAATTGAACAACCCGTGTAATGTCCGCACCTGCATTTTAGTGATGTAATTTTAGTAAAAAAAGTGCAGACATTACCTGAGCATATACGGTACTTTTTATATTGCATAAGACTATGCTTTAACATTTTAACCATGCTAAAGATATTCAAATTAAATCTGAAACATACATAAAACTGATCTTAATACTCAATAATGAGAAATATATATACATTTTATAAAGTCAAAATTATCTGTCATTACAATAAAATTTTTATTACGTTATAAACATTTGTTCAATAAAAGTCAAACTAATTGATATTACTCAACAATGAAAAAATGATAAGAAAGGTTCATAAATTCTAGAATTAGGACAACATGGCTGATACTCAGCTTTCCTTTTATCTGCTGTTTTTATAATTTTATGTTAAATTACACCTCTACATTATACAACAAAAGTTCATACTGATTCTATAAATGACTTGTTTACCTTTAAAAAAATAAAATAAGCTCGAACAGTTTTAATAAACAACAGTTTAACAGAGTTTAAAAGTTAATTTCTGTAACCAAACATGTTAAAAAATTAATAATAATTAATCATTACATGTCATTATAAGTCTTTTCAAGGGGGGAAATAGATTTTGAAAAAATGATACAGTGTAAAATAATATTAATGGTATAGGTAGAAAAGTTATAGATTTTAGATAGATGAAAAATGTACGTTTTAGATAAACTTATATTCAGGATGCAGCATCCATTTACTTAACAAAATGAGAACCCTCTATCCTATGAAATGATGCATTTACTATAAAAAAAATTTTTTTTTTTTTTAATTGCCTATTAATGGTCTATTTTCTACTGCACTCAGCATCAGATTCATGCTTGAGACTAGATGAAGTGACATACTTTCTTGAATTGTATTAATATGGCTTATTCAAAAATTTTAAACAATGTTACTTATTTAAAAAGCTTTTTTATTATTATTTTTTTATTCAGTAATTAAAATCTCTAACCATTTATGTGTTTTTGATGCAAAATTTCACATAGAAGGATGGCTTTCCAATTTATAAATCTGATTTCGGGTTGGATTATGAATAAAAGAAACCTATATACAAAATGAAAGGGTCACTGGATTTATAATCAAGAAAATATCACTTATTCATGGCAATTTTGGAGAATGTTACAGTTTCAGGGACAAACTTGTAACACTCAGAGGAACATAACAGACCATTTTAACCTTTAACCCATTTTTCATCATTTAAAAAATGGGAGATTATATGATATTAACCTTTATATGTATATATAAATCTACAGTGTAAAATCAATGATACCCAATTTGAATGATTACTGTCTTTTGCAACAATGCATACTTGATGCTTCCCATGCAAAGAAAGATACACAACTCTAGAACTTAATTTACAGCACAACTAAATGGTACACCAGATTCCTTACATTCTATTAAAGCTATAAAAAAATTTACATTAATATTTTCTTAAAACTACAATTTAAAATAACAGTCACCTCGTTTTGGTTTTGGGAAACTTTCATGAAGGTGAAAGACAACTTTTTCAACAAAATACTGGATATTATGTCCTTCAGCACCACGAACAAACACTGTCCAATCATGGGTAAATCCCTCTGATGTTGGTTTCTCTCTGAGGATCGCCCGATGGCCTAACTCTATCTTCACTTCAACACTCTGCAAAAGAGTACAACACACATTTACAAAAATATTTCATACTGTAAAATATGGTGTTCAAATAAAAAACGAATAAAATAAAGAGATGTAATAAATAAAAAAAAGTTGCATTTTTATGTTATGACATTACAATCAGAATAACATATATGTTATTCTCACTAAAATATCATAATATAAAAATGTAATTTAAAAGTAATTTTTTGCACACATACAATTTAAATAAATTATCTTTATTCTTGCAAGAAGATTAAGACAAAACTTTTCTGTTTACTTGACATACATGATTACTTTTTCACCTAACTACAATACATAGTTCGAGACACAGAATCATTGGAACTTCGGCAATTCTGGATTTTAACCTTCTAAAACCTGGCCGAAATTCTCATAATACAGCCTTCTTCAGTGTTTCATGCTTGCTTCTTGATACTTGCTTTGGGTCGAAGGTTGAACATCCCTGGTCTAATTACAAACAACCCATGGTATAAAAATGTATCATTTCTTCACACAGATATGTTTAAAGATGGCTCCTAGCTTGATATTCATGTTTTTAGTCTTATACCAGCTTTCTTTAAACTTTTTTTTCCACATGATGTATTACCCAAAATTTGTAAATTAAATTTATTGCTTAACCTGTTTGAACTTTTTCTATCTACTACAGTTACTTTTTTTATTCTTCCGACTATTATTTGAATGCTGCAACCCTCTAATCTTTTCTTTTTTTCCTTTTTGAAACTTGCACGGATGATTTTTTTCTTACTTTATGTTTTGCAGTACTCTTAGGCGATTTCAATCTCAGCATTACTAATAAAATAATGCAAAATCAGGCTCTCATATGCACTGCATAAACATACACATCAGTTTTGTACTTCTATGTATACTCATGCACACAAAACAAAATTTATCTGTGCTCCATGTAAAGTATAGCTGCTAATACATTAGAAGTCTTCAGGTCAGACTAAGCTGCTAATAGCTCTTTTTCTATACAAATAGTAATTCTTTTAATTTTGAAAAGAAATTTATATATAAAAGTTATTTTTAAATGAAAATCCCCAAAAATGTATGTTACAAAAATCTTATAAATTAAGCAATTTTCATTTTATTTACATTAACTCATAGTACATTTTTTCTCAAACATGTTTACAAACGATAGACGATATTTGTCATAAAGTATCCAATGTCCAAGATGCAAGCTTTAGGCACATTAAATAAATAATGGCCTGCGGAATTTAAAATTTTAAAGATTAGTCCTGCATATGTGAATCATCATTTGCAGTCTTCAAATGCAAATATTTTAGTAAATAAAACTCATATTTTCAATTTCATGATCAAAAACAAAATGATAAAAGATAGATTTTATATATAAGAACACATCATTCATTTTGATTCTTCTTTTATATATTTTAATACAAAATATATTAAAAGAACCAAGGTCAGATTAATGGCATAATTATTAATAAATAATATTACTATTTTACAAATTTTATCTCATTCAATTCTGCACATCACTACATAACATAAAAGTCAATGCACTGTTGATACCTACATTACTCAACTAATGCTCACAACTACATATAACTAGGCATTAGGAAAAAAGGTATGAATAAAGACTAGTTCCAACAGGGTTCGTACACATTTCTGCACACGGAAATTAAGTACTTTTAAGGACCATCTATGAAAAAATTAAGGACCTATAAGCAAATGGGAACTGAATAAATTCAATTAAAAATATTATCTATGCTGAACTTCACTTTTGTATACCTTCCTAAAAGTAAAATAGATCATAGTAGGTGCATTAGTATTAAATATAATTATTAGAAGTTTTAGAATAAAAAAAGTTCATTATTAAATATTTTACACTCATACTAACTAAGCATATTTGAAAGAAGATAAGTGACATTTTATTTAGGTTTACAACAGTTGCCCTTTTTTTTTTTGTTTTTTTTTTTTAATGCTCATTTGTCACATACTTCACTTTTAGTTTAGTAAATAATAAGTAGATTTTATGTCAAGTGGATAGGTTAAAGTGAGAAATAAATCACAAACAGATGATTCAAAAACTGGCTGTGTCGCCGTCCTGCTCCTAGGAGAGACCTGATGATCAGAACCCCTTAAGGCCGATGTAAGACGGTTCACAATTTTGAAAGTTAGCTGAGGTCTTCTGACGCTTAGTGTCGTAGCTTCTAGTAGAGTTCCAGGGATGTACTCAGTAATATAGTTTAAGGTTCTAAAATCCACTAAAACAGAGGTGGACAATTGTTTTGCATTATTTTAAGTCTCAATAGATGCGAAGAATATGTTTTTCATGAATTTTTACATTTTTGTGTTTAATCTTGTGACCACGGTAAGGGTTAATGAAAGGCAATAATGCTTTAATATGCAGAGATAATTTTTACAGGTAAGCAGCTAGTTATAAGTAATTAAAATAGGTATTAGATAACCTTAATCATTATGGATTTACATGGGCACACTATTAAATTTTATTTATTTTTTAACAATATTTGTTAAAAAAGCCTTATTAATCACAATGTAAAAAATTTCACAGTTTAAAATACATGTATTTATAGCATTGATTCTTAAACGATATTAGGATAATATACATTAAATCTAAAAATATTTATATTTTGTAGCAACAACACTCAACAAGATTTAGAGTTGTTTAATTTGAAGCCTTCCAGACATTTTCGCTAATTTTATTCAATGTACTTCTCTTTAAGCATCTTTCTACAGTTAGAAAATTCTCAATATGCAAGCAGTGTTCTCACTATTCTACGTTTTGTATCTCCTAACCTGTCAACCTCTCCAAAATGTACTATAAGGGTTTACTTGATCTGGTAAAAGTTAAATAGTCTAAAAACCCTTCGGACAGATTGGAGCAATGTCGCTATATCTGAAGTAACTACAAAGTTTAAATAAAGCTTCTTATTTAAAAAGAAGAACATAAAGAGTTCTTATGCTAAAAAAGTCAATTACAGCTCTTGGTTATGTAATTAAACAAAAGAATCAAATGCAAACTAAAAAATGGACTAGTCATCAAGACTATACAATTCAATTCAGTTTAAGCTGACTCGTAACTATTGTCATAACAAATTTCAAAATGTTGGCACGGAATGTAAAGACAAATAATTGCAAATTATCAGGCGGCAGGAACAAGCCAAGTGAAGATCAAACACATTCTTGTTTAGACTCCAAAAATCTAGTAAACTGTTTAAGTGATTTGCATTTGGTGAGAAAGCAGAAATGGGAAATTATAGTAAAGGCTGAAATAGTAAACAAAATGGGTAATTAAAAATCTGCAATATCTTTGAAGAATATTTTCCTTTTCTTAACGTATTCAGTTTTTTTCTTCCCGGTTTCCTTTTCATTTTAGAGTTTTTGGATTAATTAAAGATTTCTGTTATTCTAAAAATACTAAAGCATTTAGAATGTATAGAGAGTGCAATTTTATAGTAATAGGAACATTCAGTAGAATATGATATGTTGGTAAGGTCGGTTACAGTGCTGGTGTGGCAGAATTTTTAATTTATTCACACGTTAGCACAAAATAGAAATGTCAAAAACTTTTAGAATTAGAACAGGCATTGGAAGCAAAAATTTAAAAGCACCAGCAGCACAATTTAGTGTGTATGATGCATTAAGTCATATTAGATAATCGTTTAAATTGTCAGTTTTCAATTTCTTAATTTAAAAAAATTATTTTTATAATGCCTGTCAATACGTTAGAAGCATTTTTGATATTTAAGCTTGTGTCTAGTGAAAATAAAGAAAATAAGGGAGATAAAATGTAAGAAAAATTAGTATCAGGCTAAAAAATTCAACTTTGTGTTATTGCTCTTCCAGATGTTTTCCCAAAAAGTAAAAATTATTATTAAACTGGCACATTTCATTTTGCCCATCTTTTGGAATTTCCAGAATAGTGGGCCCACAAATCTTTCTAAACTTTCAAGCGCAATGTCTAAAATCTAAAAAAAAATTACCCAGCAACAGCAAAAGCAAAAGCCAAAAAATTTTATAAAAAAAAAAAAAAAAAAAAAATAAATAAAATCTGATAAAAAAGTGTAAATTAATTTATACAGAAACGATGCATATTCGAGACAGTTACACGAGGAAACTCTTACCAGAAAAAAATTAAAAGAAATTTTTAATTAATTACATAGCTATTGCTTTTGCTAAGAACGTTTCGTAAATGTGCTTTAGCATTATACTGATTATTTCTCAGATTCACTATTGTATAAAAGTGGCGAAAATGGAATTTATAATACGACAGCAAAAAAAAAATGCTATTTTAATGTTACTTCTTAAATGTAATTACATATATTACCATATTTAAAAAAAAAACTTATCAGGGTTACAACGTTTTAAAACAATCGCGAAAATTCCCCGATATCAGAATTAACAATTTTCTACAGAAATTATCTAAAATCGCATTATAAGTTGCAAATTAGAGCATTAATAAAAGAATTATATCCCCAAGCGAAAATTTTAAAGAGCGCTTCATTAGCAAAAATGAAATATTTCGAATGCTTTATGTTTCACACTTGCTCAGAAACTCATCCCACCCTTTTATTAAATAGGAAAAATTATAACCCATGAACGCATTCACCCATTCAAAAGATGATAGAGAATTTGTCAGAGAATTGCCAAAAAATATTCTCCAAATGCTATTCACCTCAAAATGGCATCATAAAAACAGTCAGAAATTTCAGAGATTAAACTTAGAACCTAATGACGATTTTGGCCGAAATTAAGGACTTTTAAGGACCTAAAAACGATTCCAAAAAACTTAAGGACTTTTAAGGACTCTTAAGAACCGTACGAACCCTGTTCCAAGTAAAGGGAACAAAGGCATCTGCTGAGAATTATTTTCAGAAGGCACCCTCAGCAGCTCAGTTACTCTCCTAAGCAATAAATAAGCATATTTCATATTGAATTATTAATAATTTACACAAGGCACCAGCTGTACTAATTGCAAGGGCTGCCAAAAATGTTACAGCTATGGCTGG